CGCCGTCGTCCTGCCGCCGCCGCCAGCCTCCGCCGCCCTGCCGCTGCCCGCCGCCGCCCTGCCGCGCCGCCGTCGCGACCGCGGGCGGCCGCGGGCCGCCAACCCGCGCCGCGCGCCCCGCGCCCGAGCAGGTGCCCGCCCAGCGAGTGGGCGCACAACCGCACCGGCGCGGCCTCGCCGTCCGCCTGCACGGGGCGCCCGCCCCCAGGGGTTTGGCAGCGCTCGGACGTGTGCACCTGCTCTCGGCGAGGGCCACCGAGGAGCATCCTGGATCACTTCGCCCAGAAGGCACGCACGAAGCCGAGAAATGCCTGGGGAGTGGACGTCCAAGCGAAGGCAAGGGGGCGGCGGGCGGAGGTGGCGCGGGCCGGCCAGGCTCTGGGCCTCCCAGGTGGGGTCGCAGCGGGTGGGGTCGGAGGACTGCGCCGCATCGCCGACGCGTCGGCGATGCGGCTCGATGTGGAACCCGCGGCTCTCCACGCCGACGTCGCCGATGCATCGCCGACGTCGCCGATGCATGGCCGATGCATCGAAGATGCGGCCCGATCCTCCGCCCCCAGCTGCCCCGACCCCATCTTGGAGGCCGCTATAGACGCGCAGGAGTGGCCCGCCGCTGGGAGTGGCCCTGTGGCGGCGGCGGGCACAGACCCGCAGGCCGGCCACGGTAGGTCCGTGTTGCGCCGACGCGGCAGCAACCCCGCCGCGGGCGGTCAGGGTTGAACGCCGCCAGTGGCCCAGAATGGGCCAATACGGAACGATTCGGACGGGGCCAGGGCGAGGATACATCCGTTCCAGAGCGTTCCCGAACGCTCGCAGAGCGTTCCGGAACGCTCTGAGAAGGCCGCAGCGCCCGAGACATCTTCCAGAGCCGCCAGATCTCAGAGATTCTCGATTTATCCTCACCCGATTTGATCTTCGTCCTGGCCTCATCTTCACGATCTGGGGGTCGACAGGCCGCCTGCCGCTCAAGACTGAGCGGCCCACGCGGTGCCCAGGTCGCGACGACCCGAGCTTGCCGCAATTATTACGCGCAAGCGTGGCCCTTCGCCGGGAGCGGACCCCCGAGTTGCGCGGCCAGGCGCTCTCGGGCGCTCCCGTCGGCTCCTGGAGGTCCCTCCTGCCTCGGGATGCGCCCCAGCAGCTGCGCGCCTCGCCGAGAGCGTTCCGTGGGGGGCCCGCCAGAGGCCCGAGTCACGGCCAGGAGCTTTTTTGTTGGCTCAGCGTGCCGCGCCGCCAGGGGTCTGGCCCGCCTCGCCTCGGCGCGACACGCCCCGGCTTCGGCCCACCGGGCCTCGGCGCGAGACGCTGTCCACGTCCCAGTCCTGCGGCGTCAACGCCCCGAGCCTTTCCCGACCTCCCGCCCCGCGGAGCGGAGCGACACGCGGTTCGATCGCATGGCGCAGCGTGTCGCTGGGGCCGCTGCCGCGAGACGCGAAGCAAAAGTTTCCGACCGTTGCCTGCGCAGCGGCAGCGGCATAGCCAAACTGACCTAACTCTTGACTAACACGGCCTCCTAGCGGCACTTTGTCCGCACATCAAGGTTGTCAACATAACGCAGCGTCGTCTGGTATATTCAGGCGCATCATATTCTCTCATCGAGTGGTCTACGCACCTCCAGCTGGACGATGTCTTGCTTGCTTTCTTGCATGCTTGTTTGCTTGCTTGACCCACAGAACTCAGAAAGACAGTTATCGGGTTGGGAAGATGGGCATGGGAGAGATGATCAGATCATCCGTCTCATTGCGTATGGCGAGTGTGCTTATTACACAGTCGTGCCCCGTATCCTCTCGACCTCAACCTCCCAACCCCATGATTGTCTTTCTTGAGAACCATGTGGCCCTTTGCCAGAGCGATTTCTGGTGCGTGGCGGTCTCTGGGCGCGGGCGGAGGGACAAGAGGCCCAGGCACACAGGGCGCGCTGCTGCCGCACATCGCGCGCCAGCGAGCGGCAGGTCGCGCACCAGAGACCACTCTTGCCAACCTCCTCCGCCTCCTCCTCCTCAGCATCATCATCGTCATCATAATCATCAGCAGCAGCAGCAGCAGCATCAGCATCATCATCATCATCATCATCAGCAGCAGCAGCAGCATCAGCATCAGCATCAGCATCAGCAGCATCAGCATCAGCATCAGCATCAGCATCAGCATCAGCATCATCATCATCATCATCAGCATCAGCATCAGCACCATCACCATCACCATCACCATCATCGTCATCCTCATCATCATCATCATCATCATCAGCATCAGCATCATCATCATCATCATCATCATAATCATCATTATGGGTCGCTCCTGCGGTGTAGCCGAGCAGTAGCGACCCCCTCCGCAAGCGGAGTGCCAAGCAGCGGCACGAGCACAAACTTGCGCAGGGCCGCGCGGAGTTTCGTGCGGCGGCGCTAGGCCCCCCTCCCCGCCATTCCTGGCGGTGCCTCTGGCGCCGCCCCTGGCGCGCTCCGCATGGCCAAGTCTCGGGGCTCACGTCACGGGGATCAGCGCTAACGGGGTTCGGCCACTCCCCTCTGGCTGACCCGGGTTTGGGCGCCACGTCTGGCCTATTCCCCTTGTCTGCCCTGCGTTTACCCGGGTCTGGGAGCTACTAGCCGGCCGGCCCGGATTGGCGACAGAGCCCTGGCCGACCCGGGATTGAGCTGACCTGGGGTAGCACATCCCCGAATGAAAGGGGTGTGGGAGGAGGGCCCAGCGCCGATCTGAGAAATCCGCGCGGACCTCCGAAAGTGTTCCGTTTGCGTTGCGTTGTTCCTCTGGCGCAGGAGGCGACGGGTTGCTCGAGGTTGTTTCTGGAGGAGGCGCGCTGAAGAGCCCACGACGGCCGTCTTGACACAGATTTCGGCATGCCAGGGGCCCTTGTACGACACCAGCCTGCCCTGAGGTGCCCCACAGAAATTTGTTATCCCAGGATCTTCCCAGAGAACCACAGTCACAGAAACCCTAGGACACTACACTGCACGCAATGACAGACACGCCCTCGCATCGAAGATGCCTGCGCCGAATCACCACCGCCCTCTGCCTTCGAGAATTTGCAAACGCCGATGCAGCCAAACGTTGGGCCGAAGTCTGGCCAAGCTATCGGACCGTGTTTTGGGACGTTCTGGGGGCCTCTTGGGCCGCCTTGAGGCCATCTTGGCACGTCTTGGGGTTCTCTTGGGCCCTCTCGGAGGCCTCTCGGACCGTCTCGGAGGCCTCCTTGGGGGCCCACTGGGGCCTTCTTGGCCTGCCCTGCGGCCCTCTGCCCTCGGGGGAAGTCACGCGACAAGCCCCCAAGCGGCACGCGGCAATCTCTACGAGGCACGCGGGAAGGCTTAGGAGATCCGGCCAGTGGGGGACCAAGGCCCTGTCGAGAGTGTGTCCCCAAACAGGGCTTGCACTCGAGGGTCCTTCTACTTCTGCTGCCTGAGGAACTGATGGGCCCACCCGAGGTTTCGCCTGGTGGGTGCTCATGGGCACGCCGCGTGCTGGCTGGGTCAGCCGAGGGTTCGCCCAGTGGGATGCCGTGGGTGCCTCGTGGGCGACCCGTGCGCTGGCTGGGTCCGTCAAGGTTTCGCCTGGTGGGCGCCCGTGGGTGATTTGTTGGCGCGCCGTGCGTTGGCTGGGTCCGCCGAGGTGTCGCCTCGTGGGCGCCCCGTGCGCTGGCTGGGTCTGCCAAGGTTGCGCCTGGTGGTGGACGCCCCGTGCGCTGGCGGGGTCCGCCGAGGTTTCGAGATCGCCTGGTAGGCGCCCGTCGGCGCCCACGTGGGGCCTGCTGTAGTTTCCTTGTCCTCAAAGAGACCAGGCCATGTCAGGTGAAGATCTCAGACTTATCCGTCCGCCTTTTTGTTTCCGCATCGGTTTTCCAAATGTTGAGCGATCGATCGTTTTATATACGTTTATATATAGGTATCTATATATATATATGTTGAATAATGGCGTCCCCGGCCAGACGGGTATCGACACCCCCGCAGACATCTACTGCAAAAATACGATCCCGTGCACATGCGTTGATCAAGGTTTTGCCTAAGAGCTCCATGCGGCAAATACGATGGGGGCACATGCGTGCGGAGGTGCGCGCGCATGTCAAAACCGTTGAATATATGTGGTGGTCGGCTGAGTTCTTGACATAGCGATTTGTGCGTAATAGAACGATCAGGCACCAGCTGTTTTCAACGACGAGTTGCCAGAAATCTACGCTCTCGTTGGAGTCATGAGAAAACCATCGGCCGTTAGCCATTCTGCGCAGTGGCACCATGCGGGCCAAACGCGCGCATGCCGAAAGCGTCCAGCAACCATCGCTAACCCGCCAAATCTTTTACATGTCAACATGTTGGCCGCACGCGTGCGTCTCCGTGGGTGCACGCCGCAATATATTCAGAACCGTAAGCTGTCGAACAAATTCAACGCATGGGAATTAGACCAAAAACGAACACCGATGGCTTGGAATTACAAGTATGCCCAGAATTGTTAGCGTGTGCGCGCGCGCACTTCCTTATCATACTCATCAGCACAATCGTCGTCATCAAAATCATCATCATCATCATCGTCATCATCAACATCATCAGCAGCATCATCAGCATCAAGTCAGCAGCACCATCGCCAGCGGCATAATTCCCATCGTCATCATCAGCACTATGTTCATAATCGCTGCTGCTGGCATCATCACCATCGTCGTCGATGATGTCGCCCTCGACAAAATTATGCGCGCGCGCATTTTCTCATCATCCTCACTAGCACCGTCGCCATACTCGTCGATAACATCATCGTTTTCACCGTCATTATTATCACCATCAGCTTCATCACCATCACCATCGTCGTCGTCGCCGCTTTCGCCCCTACTGTCGTCATGAACATCGTCATCGTCATGGTCTCCGTCGCCGCTTAGTTGAGTTTTGCCAACAAGTTGCGGTGGGGTGGTTGGAATACTTGCACGAGCAGTGCAGAAAATTACGTGCGGATGCGGTCAAAGTTGCTGCGCCACATACATTGCAGCGCATAGTTTGCTCTGCATTGCTTGCACCACATAGCTTGCACCACATAGATTGCACAACATCCCTGTCACCACATGTATTTCACTACATAGCTTGCTCCACGTTGGTTTTCCTTTCCAAAAGAAGAATAGACTCTACCCCCCCGGAGTTAACGGGCCACTTTGTCGTAGTGCAATTTGAATATGATCCTGCCCCACCGTCCAGCCTAACTG